CCCTTACAGGATAAAGAAATTTTTGAATTTCTAGTACTTTTCTATTCTAGGCCAATCAACAAGCTTAAACACTTTGTTGACAAATGTAATTTGCATTTCTACAAACATAATAGTATACTTCGATAAATATTATACGTTTTATACGTAGTTTATACGTTTTTTACGTATTTTACCGTAAAAAACTGTAAAATGTAAAAAACTCTAGATAATGCTCGAATAACCCAACCCTGCTCAGTACGGCCCAGTGAAAAACTGGTAACCAGTTCAGCGAAAAAGAACAAACCAATAGTTACAGTTCAGTGTAGTTTGGTGCAAATCTAGTGCAATCAAAAAAGGACATATATTATGAGTGGAGTAGGACGTAAAGAACAACTTGAGAATTGATACTGTGTTTTTACTGAGGTTACCTCGCATTCTCCGCATAAAGTTGTTCTGCGTCTGTTAGGTATCGTCAGAATGTCCAGAAGAAACACCGAGGACGAATATAGAAAAGGTTTTGTTCATTTTATTCATTGCGCTATTCCATTTTTAGTTTAATAATTTGTTCAAGATATAATTTTTACACATACGTGCGTACTTATATACATACACATATATGTATACACATGTCCATACATTTATACATACATACACGCACAAATTTTCGATTATTCTGATATAAATTTTCCATAAAATATTATAGTAAAAACAATTTTTATTACATAAAAATTAATATTCTTGAGAGTAATCACTGATATTTTTATTAAGCATATTGTGATTATATGATAATAGTTTGATTTGATATTTTAAAACTATCGAAAAAGTTTTATAAGCTTATTTTATAAAATATTCTTGTTTTACTGGAATTTTTTAATATTTTTACTTTGTATACTCTATATGAAAATCTAAATGTTGACTCTCTACTTTATATATTAAATTTTATATATTTAGTTTTATATATTAAATTTACAGTTAAATATAACAATATTGTTCTTATTACAGAACAAAATAAATTTGTATTTTACACTCCTATACAGCTAATTTATAATTCTTGACTTTGTAGGAAATGACTATTGCAATAAACATAATCCGCTTAAAGACTTCCAGTTAAAAAAAAACAGCTTTGTTTAACTTGATCTGAACTTTGCCAGTGTTTGACGTTGTCAGGGTCAAGTATGTACAGAGCCGAGGACAGGAGGGGAGATGACAGGGATAGGGATCGTTCACCTCTCAGATCTGAAAAACAATGTGAATCTGATACAAAAAAACAGAAGTTAACATTTGGTTTTGGAAAAAAAGCTGGTGGTGAGCAGAAAAAAGGAATCCAGATCAAAATAGGTTCTACCTCCGTGAGTAAAGAAAATTCATATAGAATTATACATTTATTTATCTTTTTTTTTCTATAATTTCTCTATAATATAAAAACCTTATATTAAACTCTCAACTTTGACATAAAATGCTTTTCTACAAAATACAGAAACCAATGACAAAAGGAACAGTGATACAAAAGCCAACAGTAGCATCTGTATTTAATGCGGATGAAGAAGAAGAACCAGAAGAGATGCCGGCTGAAGCAAGAATGAGAATGCGAAATATTGGCCGCGAAACTCCAACATCAGCCGGACCAAATTCATTTGGCAAGACAAAACAAGGTTTCTGCGACTCAAAAAAAATATTCGAGAAAACGTTGAAGAAAGCAATGGAAGAAGCAAATAAATGATTTTCCATATTCAGAAATTATTTTATAATTGTACATTAATGTTATGTAATTATACTAGAAGATTGTTTTTGCTGTATTTTTATGAATTACAATTCTTTTTCTGTGACAGATCAAAGATTTAACAAGTTTTGCTTTAAGACAAAGCGATATTAGCTTGTATTTAAATTGCATTTTATCTCTACACTATCATGTTTAATAAATGTGTATCTAAAAAAGTGTACAACTTCTGGTAGAAACATGGCTCTATTATATTACTCTGGTAAAATATTAGGTTTTAAAACTAACTACAAAATTTAACTGGTAGTGAGAGCCGATACTAGATATTTTGCGGTATAAATTATATCTAAATATAGTTTTAGGAGTGTAAATATTTTACATTTTAAGGTGAAAACTTTTTTACAAAAAGTTCCATGGTTTGTTTTAAATAGATCTTATTAAAAAGTTTCAGAACTTTTTTGACTTTTAGTTACGTTGTATAATATACAACCTAGGTCAAAAGTAATTAATTCTTGGCAACTACAATAGTTCCTCGGTAACTGTCCGCATTTTTCTTTTGGCATCGGACCAGGAATCATCCCCACCAATTCTTAGAAGTGCTTTGCCGAGGCTTTGTCAGCAGTGATGAAAGATCTGACCGGCCAGCACCAAGAGTATATCTATGGTCTAGTTTCCACCGAAACCCTCAATTCGGTTCCACTCCGGTACAGATCAAATTTAGTGTTCCGTTTCCATTGGAAGTAGAATAGAAGTAAGAAACATTAATATTTCAGTAGAGCCAACCACAGACTTCTATATACTACACTAGACCGCTAGCTCGCGTGATCTCAGCGTAGATAATGGGTGCGTTCAGACAACTCGACAGTTGCACAACGGTTGAGAGATAATCACTTCTGATTGGATCATACTTTTGGAACTGCTGCAGATTTTGAAGAATAGTCCTATCATAAGTGATGATCTCTCAACCGTTGAGTTGTCTGAACGCACCCAATGGCTACAAAGGCCGTTTTCCTTTTAGGAGACACAGTCGACACAAGTCGACACAAAAGTCATTCTGTCTTCGTTCAGTATTCAGTGAGAAACAAAGACAGAATGACTCTTGTGTCGACTTGTGTCGACTGTGTCTCCTAAAAGGAAAACGGCCAAAATCTATATACAATAGGGGTACTGTGAAATGCGGGTTTCATTGGTTGATTTTGACGATAAGGGGTGCGTTCCGTTTCACGCATGATGCGCATGGACTGCGCATAAGGTTGTTCCGTTTTACTCCATGCGCAGTTAATGCGCGCATAGAAACGGTTTCCCGCGCCATGTTGGACAGCGCATGAAAGCGCATGGGCTGCCTCACCTCCCGAGATGA